TTGGCGCGCCCCGCGGGCCGGGCCTGCCCCGAGCTGGCTGCCCGCTGAGGGCCGTGACGGCAGAGGTGGGGGGGGTGAACCGCGTGGTTCTGCCGCTCCCCTGGGCTCACCGATTGTTCTGTTTCCGAATAGGTTGAGCCTTCTGATACTATAGAAAATGTAAAAGCTAAGATCCAGGACAAGGAAGGTAAGCAAAAACGCACTTACTCTTCTCTCTGATGGATCGATGCGCATCTTACGCAGATGTGGTTGTCTGCAGCGACCTGTTACGTTATTACAGAACGTCAGAGCTCACGTTCCTCCTCTAAGCTTGGTTTCTGTCGCCACTAGGCATTCCTCCTGATCAGCAGCGACTGATTTTCGCTGGCAAGCAGCTGGAAGATGGACGCACGCTGTCCGACTACAACATTCAAAAAGTGAGTAGGAAGGGCGGAACGGAGCGGCGTAGTACGAGCGACCTGGCACAGTCGGAGCAGACCGACCGACCTTCCGAGAGCATTTCTCAGGCTCAAAAGCAAGGGTTGGGCGGCACTTCTGAGTGGGGATGCACTAATGCTAGGACTAGAACTGGGCATTGCTGCAGCCCAGCCTGTAGTTCCAAGTCAAAAGAAAACATTTCTGACATCCCCTTCTAGTGCTTCCCTGGCACTTGATACGCTGTGGGGTAATTTGCAGACTTAATAGTGACAAATCCTTGTAGAGCTTTCCTAGTCACCTGGAGCTTGAGCTCTACTATCTGTAGACAGAAGAAAAAGCCTATGGATTCAACCGAATCAGTTGATTTAGGGTTGGGCGGCACTTCTGAGTGGGGATGCACTAATGCTAGGACTAGAACTGGGCATTGCTGCAGCCCAGCCTGTAGTTCCAAGTCAAAAGAAAACATTTCTGACATCCCCTTCTAGTGCTTCCCTGGCACTTGATACGCTGTGGGGTAATTTGCAGACTTAATAGTGACAAATCCTTGTAGAGCTTTCCTAGTCACCTGGAGCTTGAGCTCTACTATCTGTAGACAGAAGAAAAAGCCTGCTTAAATGCTGCCCTTGTTTGGAGAAGGCATTTTGAGTCTATTATTTCATGTGTTTTACAACTAGGAATCAACCCTTCACCTTGTGCTGAGACTTCGTGGCGGTGCCAAGAAGAGGAAGAAGAAGTCTTACACTACCCCCAAGAAGAACAAGCATAAGAGAAAGAAGGTTAAGCTTGCAGTGCTGAAGTACTACAAGGTACGTAGAATGAACTCCAGGAGAAACCTGATGAAAACAGCTCTCACCAGGAGGGACGTGAGGCCTGTAACTAATCTGCATGTAGCGGGGTGTATTTGGAGTCCTTCCACTTGCAAATACCCTGCCTATTAAATAGAAGAGAAGCTGATTTGCAATTGGGCACTCATGAACTTTGATTTGAGGAGTTTGAGGTAGTAACAATCAGGAAAACTACTCTGCCAAAGAAAAATACTCAAAACTCTTTTTTTGGCGCTAAAAGGTGGCGAGTGTGTATGAGACGTTGCCTCTTTGCCCTTCCCAGGTGGATGAGAACGGCAAGATCAGCCGTCTGCGCCGGGAGTGCCCCTCTGAGGAGTGCGGAGCTGGAGTCTTCATGGCTAGTCACTTCGACAGACACTACTGTGGCAAGTGCTGTCTGACATACTGCTTCAATAAACCAGAAGACAAGTAAATGTAGCAGGCAATAAAAATCTGAAGTTCTGTACAGTTTAAGGATTTATTTCTGCTTCCTTTGGCGCCGTATTTCCACTCATAAAGGAGAAAAATCTGAAACTTTGGATGGTGACTGCCAACTCGGATGAAGTATTTTGACTTTTTAAAGTGGCTTTGGTTAGTTAAGTCCACTTCAAAGGCGACAGTGGAGCAAGGGCGGAGGAAAAAGGCCCAACACTAGCTAACCTTAGGAGTGGTCTCACTAAACATGAGAGGATTAGACAGTGCAGTAGTTCCAATCTGGAAAAACAGGAGATCAGGGGGTCCAAAAGTTATGTCTAGAACCTGTTCAGTGCTGGAGAAAAGGGTAGTAGAGTCCTGTGAACAAAATGCAGGCCACATCCCAAAAAACTGGCACTGAGGGGGAGAAAAAAAGATGGCTCAGCTATTCTAGCACCAAGAAATAGCACATCAGAAACACTGATGGTTTTACAGTCTTGAAGTGCTTGCAATTACTGGTAGTTTGTCCCATGTTCTGGTGAGGGAAGTCGGTTGCTTGACAAGATTTAAAAGCAGAACAGTTCTACATAAACGTCAAATGTGAAGAAGCTCACGCGCATCTCTGGAAATTCATTTAATGGTAAAGGCTGAGGGCCAGCCAGGAATAATACATGTCTGATAGTGTTCAAGTGTTCAGAGGTATTTTAAAATCCTGGATCCCAGGAAGTTGTCTGTTGAACTTCTTTTTCTTCATAACAGATGATTTCATCTCCAATATTGAATTGTATGTCCTTGTCCAAACTCAATCCACAATCCATACCTGTTTTTATTACCTGGACGTCATCTTTATGATGCTTCAGTGATGATAAAGATCCTGCAAAGAGAAACTGCATCAAAGAAAGAGCCCACTGGCATCCGAGCACGGAAGCGTTTTGGTTTCAGAATTCCCGTTTCACCCTGTAGCTACAGAAGGAAAGGGTGAAAACGCATCAGGACTGCGAGCACTTGCGCCTGATGAAAGGCAGGCATCGGTCCTTTTCTGCAGGTAACTCCTGCGGTGCTACGCCCTCCTGCCAGCGCTGGTGGTCAGGAAAAGGTCTGCGGAACAGTATCATGACATTCTGCAGCTTTTCTCCACGCTATTCCAGCCTCAACAGCACCCGGGCTTGCCCTGCGCGTGCGTTGGGCGCTGATTTCACGGGAAGCAGTAGTGTCCAAGACTGAACGCAAGTGAGTGTTCTGTGGCAACTGCACTTACCTTCCCAAATAGCATCCCCTTTACGGATTAACTTAAATTTCATTTTTCTGTCTAGCAGCCCCTTCTGCACTCTGCAGCCCGCTACTGGAATTTTGTTCTTCCCTACTGTGACAGAGAAGACGTTGAGAACAGAGGCTTCCCCTAAAAGAGAAAAGTAAAGTTGCGTGAAGTACGCGGGACTAAAACTGGCAATAAGTAAAAGCAAGCCACGCTTCCACTTCCCAAGATTTATAGAGAGAAGCAGCTACAGAGGAGCACCAAATATTTGATAAAACGGGAACACTGCTGGAGAATAAATTTTAAGCTGTATTACGAAGCAAAATTTTAACAGCTGGTGAGAACTCACCTATTGTATTTTCCTCCACAGAGAGGGGCAGTCTGCTATTCAGCTCATCTTTCAAGTCTTCAATAAGTTTGTAGATGACATTGTGAAGTTTAATTTTTATTCCCTTTTTGGCAGCCAGCTGCTTAATACTTTCATTGGCTTTCACACTGAAGCCAAATACAACACCTGGTAAATAAAACAATCAGCAGCTGATGAGTACAAGAGATCACTTCTTAAACAGTAACCGAAAGTGTTGCTGTGTCTGTTCTGTAAGGTTGGACTTGCAGCACAGGGCAGAATGAGTGGTCAGCAAAACAAGAAACAGCATTTTCCTATTCCTTTTAAGAAGCCACCATTTACTTCTGCCAGTATTGCACATCAGCTGCTACTAACCTGGTATCCACACAAATGGCTCACAAAAGCCCTCACGGAGTTCCCTGATGACGGAATTGGAGGTATCAAAGCAGCAACTGATGTTTACAGCAAAAGCAGAAACTAACGCTTCCAACACAGCTCACATAAAGGACAGAGACTCCTATTTTTTGGGATGGAAAAAGCATTTGGTCGTCCACCTTCAGCTGGAAGGGAACTCTAAATTGTTCTCATCCACCTGTGGACTCTGGCAGGTCTGGTGACCCCACTCTCTACAGCAAGTCAAGGCATGGAGGGAAACAACTACAGTCATAGGATCCCAGACTGGTTTGGG